AAAAAAATACAAAATTATAAAAACGTACAAGTATATTAGATTATTACATACCTCAAATGTGTAATCCATTAAAAATGAATAACAAATTACATTCATATTTACCTCATAATTTGGGTATTTTTAATTTGGCGGTTTTTCATACAGGAAGTGATCAAATGGCGCGCGCAACTAAATGCTGCGTGCGCATACCGAATGAAGTAACAAAGAGCACTTGACGAATTTTATTTTGTCACGTTACGAATTGAACAGTTTATTTCCTGAGAATTTAATTAGAAATTTGTTTTTTATTGTGGCAAGTTTATTTACTAAATGATTTTTACATAGGAAACGATGTAAAGGTGGTCAACTAAATGATGCTCCAAACGCGTAAGTTCCTGCGGAGTGGACGAAGGACGCCATGACAGTCGTCGTATTTTCTGTTAACCGCGAGCACGTAAGTTCTTGCCAGCGTTTTCGTGGAATTCTTGCGCAGCTTGGCGTCTATCGAGATCAAAATTGGCAAGTCCATTTCCTAAATTCGACGGACTTTCCTTCGAATATATTCTGGAGGTGGAGGGTGAGGGCGCGTGGCCATTATCAGGGATTTGCTTGTGGGTACCCGTGGCGAGGTGAGACGTCGAGAGGCGGCAAAAGGCGTCCCCCCCTGCGTCGGGACGCGCGTCTCCCTGTGTACGAGACGGCCTAGGGCCGACGAAGCGAGATGCCAGAACCGCCGACGGCACCGTACACCACGTGAGTCCACCCTCCGAACTCTCTCGATTATTGCTTCGACCCTTTTAAGCGGTTTCTATATATCCCCTTGCCCCGAATCCCAGGGAACCTCCATCTTGTAACTTCTTGTCCTCGTTCTACAAGTCACGATAATTGACGCGTCATATGCTTAAGGCACTAGAAGATGGTGCCCGTGAACCCTCTTTTAAGTACGAGGGGATCTATGGCGATTCCTGACAAATGTGGAAGTACTACTGCGTACTTATTCAAGTTGCTGGTACGCTAACATTTTCGTGTTTCGCTATGAGTCTTTGTCGCCTTCAAAAGATGGTATCGGATGACTCACCCTTTCCCGCTCACTCGACAAAAAACTCTTAAATATCTGTGAGGTTAAATTAACTACTTTCTTTTTTCTACATGTTGGTACTTTCTTTGTGATATTAACCTGTCATATGAGCATTATATAATAATAAGTGTTCGCCTAGTAATGTCTTTCGGCTTCATTGTATCCAGAACAAGTTACTTACTTATTGATATTTAACGAATTGATTTCGAGGTTAAATCACAAGGTTTACTTTACTAGTCAGTTCCAACGGTGCAAAGGGCAAAATAGCTATTTTACTAATCATTCATAATATTTCTTTTCGTGATATTAGTTTTCATTATATTTTATAATTAATATAAGAAGAGCAAATCTAAAGTAAAACTGAATACATATTAGATTTTATATAAATAAGTGAATGAAATGTTAATTTATAACAAATTAATTTTCATAAATTGTTTTACAGGATGAGAAATGAAATATATCAAAAACATTTAATTAGTATTCTTCAGTGAATAAAGATGAATAGTGAGCAGCATGCATTGCCAGCGACTACGCAGGCACAACAAGAGGTAAGAACATTTCCAACTGATGCAGGCTATTCACCAAACTACAAATGCGCAACCAATATGTTAAACATTATGTTTCAAAAATATTGTAAAATAAATTGAAATCCTTATTCGTTGAAATATATTTCCTTTTATAAATTTCTTATTTTTCTCA